TCTGAAAAGCATTCCTTGCTTCCAAAGATGAATTCCACCATTTGAACTGGCACAGAGCTTACATCATTTTTAAAACCTGCCAGTAATTACAAACAACATAAATTCACTCTAATATCAGCTTTCCCACTACTTTCTGAATTGTGCCATCTTCAAGCTGCCTGCCCAATTATGTGGTCCAGCCCCAGCTAGAAGAAAGATTCTAAAAGCTCTTACTGACTTTAAAGTTGCATTTATATTAATTATACAAGCCCTGAAAAATTTAACACCTACTAAAACCAAAGATTAAGAATACTTGGAATGAAGTATAACTATGTGGCCCCTGCAATTCAAAGAACCAAAAAGCTGTCAAGTTTTATTGCTGGCTGGTTGAGTTTGACTGTAAAATACTGTCAACTTTAAGAGATTAAAACAGCTTGCCATGTCTTGATTTTGTTAGACATTTTCTCTTCCTGATTTCACTTTATTTTAGTACCCCTTCCCCTGCCAACAAGAGATAATTCTATAATTTTTCTTTTCCCTAGCATTGGTTCCTCTTTCACATTCCATACTTTCTCACCCTTTCCCCTTGTTAAATCTTTTTTTTTCCTCCCTCATCTATTCTTTTCTATTTTTGATCCTCTCTGCCCCCACTTCTCCTCCTCAAAAAGCTCCTATATTTCCCTCCATACTTCTTCTAATTTATGCCATCAGAATGTCCTACCCAGCTGTGGGCATGCACCGAGCTCAGACTTACTAGACAACTAACTGCAGAAAACCAAATCCACTAGCCAGACACACCAATATCCAGAAACAAATTTAATTGTTTGTAATGATGGGCATGTTTTTAAAATTATGTAAGCTCCATGCCAGCTCAAATGGGGGAATGTCTTTGGAAATAGGAAATGCTTTTCAGAAGATGTGAGAGGCAACCTCAACTATTCGGCCCAACTATTCTAGATCAAGGAGGGGACAAAAGGACTCTTACCAAGATATGCTGCACCTGGAGCTTATTTGCCTCTATCCTTTACAGCTTGTATACATTTCTAAAACTTCAAACAACCTCATAATCTTGTTTCATTAACAGAAGGGGAAAAAAAGACACTTTGTCATTCCCAACCGTCTCCCATCTTACTGTGCATTTGTAGATAGGCACAAAATATCCATTAATTTGACCCCATTTCACCTTACCTTCTGTAAACAGGGAAGCACCTGTATATGTTTTTCAATTTTTTCCCCTCACTGCTCAGTTCTAGTTTTGATCCCTTTCCTCTATTTCTTATTTCAGTGATACTGCTACTCCTCAGAGCTTTGTCTACCAGCAGCACCACCATGAAAACAGCCTGATCTTTTTCGGTTTCATTGCTGACATTTAAGTTCTGATCGACTGCTGTGAAAACAAACCAATGATTCTGGATAGTTTTCCTTCTGCTATGACACAGCTATGAAAGGAAACAAAAAAACACTGAAGCAATATGCCTAGCACTTTGGAAGATAGTGCTACATTGCACGTGTTGCAGCCACAATGGCAGCAGATTCATTTTGTTTTACATTTAAGTTTAAAACCTACAGAGATTAATGGTATTTGCCTGAGAAAACTTCCCACTTGCTATGAGCAAATAGACTGTGTACTGCTGCCAGATACACACTAGTTTAAAAAAGAAACAAACAACACAACCTTTTTTCCCCCTCACATTTTTTATTTTTACTATATTTTATTCACTAAGTGTAATCATTGTCACCCCCTCCCCAAGTGACTAATTATTTTACCTGCATTACCTGGATGTTACTCCATTTATTTTAACTGAGAGTCAAGGCTACATGCTGTGATCTAGTTTTTAAACACCTAGACCCCACCCAAACAAGTGTGGCCCTGTGGTATGTGGAGGTGCACACATATTGCATATTCAGGCATTTCCCTCACTGCTACCTTGCCATGCGGGGGATATATATATATTTTTTTTACCCCAGGAGGTCAAAAAAACCTACGTGGAAGAAAAGCAGGGCAGCACATGTGGCAGGAGCACACGCCACCCAAAACCAGAACCTGGCCAGTCAGAGCTACACTCTGGCTGTCAGCCAGGCTCCCAACTGCAGGAGTGGCATGGCTGCAGCTTCCTAGGGTCCCAGATAAGGCTGCGGGGGCCAGCGTAGTTGCTGCCCCACAGCCTCCCCTATCCCACCCATGCTGAATGTCCGAGCATGTGTGGCACCAGCATTCCCCAGAGACAAGTAGTAGCAGCACAAGGTGTGCCGCTGGTACTTGTTCCCAGAGAACCAAACACCTGCACTCATCTGGACATGGCATCAAACTACTTCCCTTCATCCAGGCAGAACTGGTTCAGCCTATAGCCTTGAGGTAGAAAGTTAGTTCACGTATTTTACTATTTGCTTATGGAACATTTGAATTAGACCCTAAAATATACAGGTCATAGGTTCACCCTAGATACTAAATCCATAGCACTTTTCCCAGGTTTAGAAACCTTCCTCATTATCTTGGCTAACAGGTTCTTTGCCTCACTGGCTATTATGTTCATCATGCTAGAAGCAGCCATCTTTCAGTAGTGGAATAAGACTGCCCACTGACTTCCATTAAAGCAGACGGTATTCAATACGCACCATAAGGAGTATTTAGCACCTCACAGAATCAGATCAATAGTTTGTAAAGGGCTACAAAGATCATTTTGGATGAAAGGCTCTGTGTTTCTCATTTTACCTTTATAAATGAATGTCCAGATAGGTATTATTAATATTAACTGCAAGTGAAGAAAATATCTGCCATAACCATAGTTTTTGGCAATGATTTCTATGGAGCCCTGAACCACAAGATGTCTGAGGGACAGAAGTTTAATGCAAGGTTATATCTTTTATTTAAAAAAAAAAAAAAAAAAGTCAACAAAACCTGCAGAATGAAAGACTGGCAGAATCCAAATAAAAAAAGATCCATAAATTAAACAACAAATTTGTCCTAGAATTGTGTGCGATAAACAAAAGGAGAATCAAAATCAGAAATCAAATGGACCAAAACTGGTATGGCAAATATTAGACCCGACTGTTGTCCAGAGTACTCACAACGAGCCACTGCTTAGGAAAGAAGAAAAAGAAAAAAAAAAGGGGGGGGGGGGGGGGGGGGGAGAGGAGTATGGAAATTAAAACTCCACCACAGGATGCATGGCCTGAAAACAGCTAAATTTCTGCTATCATTTCTGTAAACCCCACCGTCTCCTGCGACCCCCAGATCTACTTTGATGCTGTTTGGTCTTCACCATCCAAATTTATATCATCATCCAACATATATCTTTTCCTTTTTCTCTCCTTTTGCCTTCTATTTACTAAGAATGAGGTTTAGCTACCTGAGACTGCATCGTCCCCCGCTATACCATAAGCAATTGACTAAAGAAGCTTAAAAGACAAATCTTAACTAGCCAAATACAGGTATACAAGTTTGCTAGAAGTCAGAACGGCTAATCAGAATGTGACCTGGGACTGTGTTTCTTTAGCAGTTAGCCTGCAAGAACATGAGAGGAAAAAAAAAAAAGTAGTTCTTATCTTTGCTACTTTTCTCTTTCCCCTTGGGTACATTTTTCTTGATTTGCATAATAGGTAATAGGATCTGTCTCTTAACAGCAACTGTGATTACTCCACAGCATCTAAATTTCTCTTCCCCCCACCCCAAAAGAACAAATAGCATAATATAATATTTAAAATCTGTCAAACAGGGCCTTCCCTGCGCTTGTACCTGAAGGGAAAGGGAACAAAGCATATTATTAAAATGAAAGCCTTACTTAATGCTTTACCACTTTCCTTCTTTTTATGTACCTTTAATAAATGGTCTTTTTTTTTTTGTTAAGTGGTGATTGTTACACCTGGGAATAAGCAGGTAGAGTCTGTCTTTTCTTCTTAAAGCCTCAAACTTTATTTAGCTGTTTTAGAATTATACATTGATAGGAACATCCTAGCATATTTGACACTCTGGGCCCATTTATTCTATCACATTGCACAAAAAAGCATGCTACCATCTTGAAACTAAACTTAAACAGTTTTACAGAGAACATAAAGTTTCTGGAAAAATGAAGAAAGATCTCTATTCTCATCTGTTCTTATTTCTCTGTGATCCTGCAATCGAATTGCTGCAGGTAAACCTGTGATCTCATCTATACCACACATGAAGGAAAGTCTGACTATCCATACAAGTCCCTTGTAAGGTATCCAAACAGACAGAGCTGTCCCGGAGGTGGGCAGCAAATCGGGGCAAGTGCCCCGAGTCCCATGCTTTGCGGGGCCCCGCGGAGCGACAATGCTGTGCTGACGCCGGCTTCACATCCGACTGCTCAGCACCCCCTGTGCGGCCCCACACAGGCTGATTTGCCCTGGGTCCTGCACCCTGCTCTGCACATACAGAGTTTCATAATCAACTTCCATTTCTGTAGAATTTTTCCATAGGATAATCACCATCTGGTACAACGCATGTTGTTTTAGTGTTCCTTGAGACTAAAACTTTCCTTTTATTAAATGAACAAAGCAATACTTTGTTTCTCACAGGACTGGGAATTATGAACAGGAAATGTAGTGAAAAGGAAAGAGACCATGAGGCTGTTTTATGCTTAGAACAATATAACTTAATCTTCAAGGTAGATACAATTTTTGAGCAATGGTTCCACAATGTGCTTGACTAACAGACCACTGTCAATCCTCAATTTCTTATGGAGCATCATGCACCGTTATCAAACTTTTAATTGTGAAGGGAAGTGGATGCAAACCACAGACTAACTGTAAACTCCTCAGCTTGACTTTGCAGACCTTTAACATTCTATGGAACACAGACTGGGACCACAGTGTTATGGTCCAACTCTACAAATGCTTGCTATTGATAGGAGTCATATTTTTTTCAACTGGATTAGTTGAAAAAGGATTTGGGGCATATCAGCCCCCTTAGCGCTACTGTGAACTGCTTACATACATGATCAAAGGAAAACAAAAATCTCTTTCAAAATTTTAGGCAGTTTTAAGGCTTTTTTACTCACTGACTGAGTGATTCAACTCCAGTCTTGTCTGCTTCATCTGCATCTTCATCAGTATCAGAGTCAGTCCCATTCTCACCTTGATACATGAAATTTCAGTGTGTGAGAGATACACAGCCAGATATCACCTTCCTAGCTGATATTGTCTGCAACAATTAATACTATTCAGCCAGTAGCATAGCCTCTCCAGCTAAAGAAGATATTCTTAAATTGAATTCAGCAAAAAAAAAAAAGCAATCTGAGGCAGCTGCTGCCTACCAACTCAAACAAGTCTGTACTGTTCTTCGGTTATCTTCGTGTTAAATAAAAAAAATAGAGTAGTGATTCCAAGTTTGATACTGTACTCACCAAGAGTTTAGTGCAAGGACTGACAGATGAATGCAAGCACCATTTAAGCCCCATACAATTGACCTATATAAAGGGACTACATCAGTTCAGGAGAACTTTCCAGCTGGAGCTCAACACAGCCCTGGAATGCTGTCAATAAAATGTGCTGGGAAGGGAACAGTAGGTCTGGCCTAGCAAGTGTCTGAGAGTCCACAGGCCTATGGGGTGGAAGCTTCCAAGTACGGAGTACAAAGGCAGCTACAGACAGCATGCCAAATACTGGAATATGGTGGCTTGAAACCACGTAGCCTGTTCTACATCACCATTTAAAACTTAATTACTAATTAATAACATTCAGATTTGCTTCAGGTATTTGTACAGGAAAATATGGCACACTATTTCTCTCCAGCAAAGGCTGCTTTAGTTGTTTACAATAGGTTTGTCCACCTTTGAGCATCCAGGGCCACAAGCCCCACACATACTGTACGGTCTGCAAGCTGTGCTACATGGGTGCTTCTGCTGCAATGCACCAGTGCCTCACCACCATGCTGTCTGCACCCCCCTGCACCACAACGCATTGTACTATGCTACATGAGCCCCACCCCACCACACACATTGGGTGCCCAGGTCCCCCTGAATGCCTCAGAAGCAGGCTCCTTCAACCTCATGGGCTTGGCTGCACTTCCCCACGATACCCCACTCCCAGGGGTGAGAACAGGCAGTGGAGGATGTAGGTGGAGCCCCAAGATCCCAGCAGCAATAAGAACAATGAGGAGAACAGCACCCGAATGGAGATTAACCCCTTGAGGACCACATGTGCCCTGTGGGCTACAAGTTGGACAGCCCTGGCATACAACATAACAAGGAAGAAAAAAAGTCTCCATATTGCTGCTACATAGCATGACAGTACCCAAGCAAAAAAAGCAACACAAATGGGCTACACAGGAGGTAGTCTGCTACTTTTTAAAAATGGTAAAAGATTATTTCTTTTTATACCAAGTGGTGATCCAGGTAGAGCAATTTACTGTTCAATCAACCCAAAACAAAATGTTTCAATTCAAGAGCACTGTTTCAGTTTCCATGGGGGAAAAGATTTGGATAAAACGCTGAATTTTTCCACAAAAAGCAAACATTTATCATAAAAAACCTGTTTTGGTGAAAATCCAATTTTCTGTCAAAAGTAGTTGATGACTCCTAAATCTAGCAAGTAGAGAACCTTGAATAACATTTTTCTGTCAGTAAGTATAAAGTAGGTGTAGGTACACTTAAATTTGGTGCGCAGAACCATGTTGTGCAGCCCACAGGGCTCTCCAGGGGTCCAGAAGTTTGACAGTGGGGGTGAGGTGGCACTATTAACTGCTAATTCCCCACTGCCAATTTTCTGAACCCACAGGAAGCCTTGTGGGCCAGATAATGTGGCCTTCTTTACAGGATCAGGCCAGCAGGTAGCTGGATTCGGGTGTGCGGGTTCAGACAGCATGCTGGATTGCACCCATGGCTCGAACCCACAACTGGCATGTGATCACCATCTGGCCCATGAGGCCAGAAGGCTGGGCACTACTGATATGAAACCTATGACCTTTCCATTATTGTATTGCCTATATTTGGATTTAAATATATAGAAAAATATTTGTTTAACCAAACAGTGCAACTTCTTACTGTACAGGGAGTTTATTTTTTAAGGGCTTTCAGAAAATTTATTTGCATCTCCCACTATAAGATTATTTTGAAAGATAGGTTCCTCTGACTGGAAACGATGACAACATAGAACACAATAGTGTAGGATAATAAAGAATAAAAGCTAGTTCTTACCCTCGAGAATCTTCAGCAATTTTTTCTCAGATAAAAGCTCTAACTGTTCCAGACAAAGTCTTTTGATTTCTTCCATTGAACAGTTCTAAGAAAATGATGGAAGACAAACAAAACATATGCTCATTCTCAAAATTTCAGATGAAGAGCATTACATACAAAGTCACAACCAATTTTCCATTTCTACCAAAACATTTAAAGCAACATTCAGCTCAAATTGCAAGGTAAGGTGTTGCACTCATCACATAACTTTAATGGAAAAAAGATGCTGGGCCTAAAGAGGGGGCAGGTAAGTTTTCCCACAGTTGGGTGTTTAACATTAAAAAACAAAAAACAAAAAAAACCAAACCCCAAACAAACCAGAAAACTAACAAAATATCAAGATATAATTTTGAAAAACTACACCAAAAAAGTGTCTACTATTCGACATTCCTATACTTCTCCTGGTGTTTGTGACATGCGGCATCGGTTTGAAGGAAGAGCTGATAAACCAATTATAACCCACACTTACTTTATGCATTCCGTCTTGTTAGAAGATGGATCAAACAGGATTCTAAGGCTGCCCATGTGACTTTGAGAAAACAGAATTAAGCCTTTTAATGCTAGAAGCTCCTGCTTATAGTGGCAGAGGTCCTAAGAATCAAAGCTCTACTGTCAGTAACCACCAAGTGTCATTGTATTTACAAAAGCAAGACAAGATGTCAGAAATACGTCAGGTGGTCAGAAAAAGATAAAGATATAGTTAACGTTCTTCACAGAGCATTTAAACATGTACTATGAAATTAGATGGATTTTCTACTTCCATTTCACTTCCCTTCACACTGCATTCTGGCCATCTTCTCCCCTGACAAGAACTGGATAGAAGGCTCTTTGTAGTATTCTTTCTCCCTTCCCCATCTCTTTTGCTTGCATACGGTTAGAATTCCCCTACTGTGTCCTCTCAGTTTTTTTACTGTATATTAATTATTGTGACCAACAAGAGCTCTGCCTGCAGCTTAGGATGGGGAAGGGATACTGTTTTGTTTGAGGGTTTGTTTTATTTTTGGATTTGTTTTTCTTTTCAGCATACCAAATCAATCATTGCTCAGTGTTTTATACTGGAAAACTGGCCTGCTGTCCTCCTCAGAAGTTAAAAATAGAAGTAATTTTGGAAGAAGCAAAGAGAACAAGTCTCAGCAAGGAAAAATAGAAGAGATGGATGGGATGGCAAGCTACTGAGTAAGAATTCACAAACAAAAAGTCCATTCTGGTCATATTAGAAGATTCCTACTCCCAGAATAACAATTTTGTTTTCAGACAAAAAATGATGGAAACAAACCATTCATCACCAACTACATCACAAAACTGACATTTCAATTGTAGGCTTTTCATCAGCAGAGGCTGTTAGTCTTACGAAATTGTATGGTATTTGTGTTTTTTATTTTTATAAGCCTGAAAGGATGTTCCAAAATCATTCTCAGAACTCAAACAGCAGATGTCCCCACCATTCAGCCCACAGATTGTTCTAATAATAAATTAAACAAACACAAACAGTTTAAGCAGTTGTGGTATAATAAAGTTATGCCCTATAATTTCACTGTTTTCCCCTTCTGTATTTGACAAGCATTTCATTCCAAATTAAAGAGACACAATTTTAATGAAGTGTTTTTAAATATAAAATCAATTCACAGTCTCTGAATGATCTTGATGTTAAGAAACAAAGGAACTTAGCAGCACTTCCTTGTTGTGGTGAAGACTATCTCGATTATTTGAATGCTGAGTAAAGTATAAGTACTTGGATGCATAAATAGCAAAGAAGTATAGCAACAGCTTAGTAGAGTGATGGTATGCAACAATTTAGGACAAAGTAAACACCGTTTCCACTTGGAATTCTAAGAAAAATTGCATATGAGCAGCAAACCTAACTATTCTTCATAGTCAATGCACCTATATTTGTTAAAATATTCCCAAAGAATCTTTACTGACAGACGGTATGACCATGCACCTCATCTTTGTGAAGCCTCTGACCAAGTTTAAAGAGGCTTATGCAAGAGGAAATGCATCAGCACTACAATATTATTAAATTTACAAGTTAATGTAGCCTTTGTTCAAGAAATACAAAGGATGCTTTAATTTGTATGGTTGTAAGTTTAGTGAACCAACAGACACCAGAAAGCTTTTCGGCCCTGCTTGTCCTGAATGTGTTAGAACATGAGTATATTCCAATACCTTTAATATATCAGGCAGCATCTTCTGCAATTTCTTTTCCCCTATGACACAGAAGCACTGTTGAAGCATTTCTTTTTTGTCTGCAATGTAGAAACTAACTGGTTTGAGTGCCACAGTGAGATCTAGGCCACCTTCTTCTATGTCACTGGGCTCTTCACCTACTTCCTCTTTTTCTGCCAGGGGCACAATGCATTTTCTCTCCTAAAATTAAAAGATTACAAAATATGAAAACTGCCTTTAATGAGCCAATCAAGAGAAAGAAAGATGTTATTACTTTACTTGCCTTGCCACCATAACTCCCTACAATAAAATGTTTAAAAGAATATTACAAATGAATCTATCTTATACAGGAATAATGAACTTTTGAGTGTTGTTTTACACTGTAAGAAAACTGCATCAGTAAGTGAAACAGCTGCTCTCTAAAGGTACAGAACAAACTAACAACCCTGTCAAGGAGACCTCCTAATTTAACTAATTTAGCAGTCTTGCAGACCATGAAGAAAAGAGTACTTCTCACTGTGAACTGAAAAATATACTGGCAAAAAAGTTTACCCATTTGTCTGCATCTGCACACTGAATTCGACTATAATTCATGATGATACTGGGATGCTGGCAGCCAAGAAATGCGCTTCACCAGTATTTTTGGTGTAGGGGATACTCCACTTACCTGTGGATCAGATAAGCCCATCATTTCGTTAACTGCATAATACAGGGTCCATCTACACAAAATGCTACGTAGCAATGCACTGCAGTAACACAGCGTTTGCGGGTGTCTATACATGACTAGCCGCTACACTGCTGTAGCAATGTGCTCCCTCTTTATAGCCCACTGCTACAGCAATGTAGCAGCTAGAAATAACCATGCACAGCCAGCACGACGCAGTACAGGTTGTTACTGTGCCATCATTTTTTAAGTCTAAAATGACAAATGACAGTGCAGTAACAACGGCAGTGTACGGTGGTGTGTAGATGTGCCCACAGTGTAGTGGTAGGCAAAAATTGGGGCTGGTGTTGTAACAAATTCTAGGCATCTGTGTATCAGTTAAGTACATAAACTGCACTGATGAAGCACAGATGGACTTATTGGCTCCTCTAGTTCCTAACTTGACTGCACTCCATTTAATTGCATAATTGGTGAACCTGATTAAGAACCATCAATGTCAAGGTTTCCAAAGCAAGGTTCAATAAGTGAAGGGCAATTTCAAGAATAGTTTGAAAGGCAAAAGGTGCCCCAGAAACAAGACCAAGAGCCTGAAGCTACAAAAGCCTTGAGGCA